CCCCAAAACCCCAAAACCCCAAAACCCCGCATGTAATTAATCAAATTTTTGATGAGTTCAAATGATCAAAATTATAAATTTATGCTAATATAATAAAGCCTTATTTTATTATTTTAATATCTGAAAGCTCTAAAATGTCATTGACTACAATATATGATGCAATTTAAAGTAGGAACTTATATTTTGATCAGTTTTCAATTTAAAAGTGACCACTATTACAGTATGAATATCTACCATTAATGATAATTAGAGCAGATCTTATCACTTAAAACTAGAGCCAGATAATATAAGAGTGTAGGCTAGCAGGAGATTATTTAAGAGAATGCTGTTCAAATATTCCATTACTGTGTTGCAAAACATTTGGGGGTATCAGTTTTGTTATCCTATTCATATCAATGATTGTTTCTCTATTTTTATTTCATAAAAGGAATTAAACTGGGCAAGGCTCCTATAACTACTTTCTCCATATTCTGATTAACATGACCTTCCTATGTAATTTGCTTTTTTATTATTTTTATAGCAAGAACAATCATATATTTTGATAATACTCTTTATACCTTTGATCTGAAGACTTATTTAGTTTTAAAGTTCATGCCAAATATCTTCTTTACTTTAGCTATGTATGCTTTCATAATAACATGGTGAGATAAAAAGTTGATTATAACCACTTTTGATTAGGATTAACGTTGTATTGATTATAAATAACAGAAGATACATACTAGACTTGAAAAAGAGACTAACCTGAATCAAATATGTTTAACTTGCTATTGTAACTATCATTCCATGCATACAGATAAGTTTATTAATGCAGGGTTATTACTCTATGATAAATGATAGTAGTACTGAGAATATTATTGAAGATCTAGTTCCGATGTTTTCATTTATGTTCACTAATCAGGTTATCCAACTATCATTTTTCCTATACTTTGGAATAAGGCTAATTTAATCACTCAAGTAGTATTCTCTCGAAACTTATAAAAAGTCCAAATGCAAGGTAAGTATATAATCTATTTACACTTTTTAAGATTATTTCGACAATCGTAATTGGCTCATTTTCCTTAGCTAGCTAGATATTTTACTATCTTATGAATATAACATACTAAAGCAATGACTTTGAAAAGAATTACCTAGAATTCAAACTTAAATCTCTATTTAACGATGATGCTTTATCTCCTATTATTTCATTTATCTATGTGTTCTTTACAGATTTCCTGCCTATGATTACTTTTTAGCTATCCCTACTGATGTCCTATAGGAACAATTCAAGACATTTGAATAAATAAAATTTCACCAACAGACCTCATTTGAGTATTAGAAGTGAAAACAGGCCTACACAAGATTTGAATGCAAGTATTGTCAAAACAAGGAAAATCTCTTATAAAGATTCTTTTTCACCAAGAAATTTTTAAGAAATTATGTCTCCCACTTCCCAGCCACTTGCTCAATCGAGTGAAGATTCTTACCAAAAGAATTTCCTCAACTAGCAACCTCAAATCTAAACTTGGAGAATCAGCTCATAAATATAAAATATCAGAGAGAACCAATCATTCAGAGATAAAATTAGAAGTGTCTTTTCAAGAAAAAGCTAATCAAATTCAGTTCTCCTTGATCCAAGGATCAACTTCAATAACAACAACTAAAATACTAATGAAATTGCCAATCCTTAAGGAAATAAAGGACAGTAAATGGATTTAGCTCATTAATCATACAAATCTATCTCGCACCATTAGCCAGACTTGCAATAAAACAAGCTAGGGTAGATTCACTACCTCTCTCATAATGAGAGAATACTTGTAGTCGATGATTGCACAATCATTAGATTTTAATCTGAACATTAATTAATCGATAATAGACTAAACCAGATAATTTATAACAGCAATATACATTAAAATCCTAAGTCTCACGATTACATTATCAATCAACAGAAAGATTTATTTGAAAGATACCTCTAATAAAACAAAGTCAAGACTCATAATCCAAATGTGCATCATCTGAATCCTAATAATAGTTGTAATAGCAATTTAGTTGTTTCACACAATAGCGGTGGTAGTGGCAACTTTGGTAGTGCCGCGAACGGAAGCAATGGTAGTGGTGGTTGTATTTCAAACGAAAATTAGCATTTATCATTCGGCACAGTAAATCCTATTGAGAAAAATGACAACTCAATTAAGAATCATGAAGTTATTTATTTAAACTCTGGCAATTCCTTTATGATAAACGAAGAGGATGATGTTGAATCTAGTTAGGTAACTGACTGAGAAACTTTATGCAAGGTAAATTCATGCTAACCTTTCAATATATGAGAGAAGACTGAATGTTAATCGAAGAATTATTAAGTTAAGTATAAATATATAAAGATTAATGAAAGCAGACTTGCACTACCGAAATTGCATTTTTCAGCAAGTGAATATTATCTAATATGATTAAATTATAATTTAAACAACTAAGTTAATTAAATTAAGATTAAGCTTTTTTATTTCTCAAATATCACTACCCTCTTTGCAATAAAAATACTTCAATATGTTATCTTCTCATTAATTAATAATCTGTAGCTTGCTCTTTTAAGTTTTTATATATGATTGCAAAAATACTCATTCTTATTTTTGTGTTTCTTCTATTTATTCCTACTGTTTCTATTCCTAAGGCTAGTCTTTCTAAGTATTTTCATCATCATCGAATAGCAAGGGAAAAACAGGTTCCCAGACATCCTTGGGCACAGGCATGGGTTCAGGCATTTATTCACCTGGCTATATGATTCTAATATTTCTCATGTATGCTGGACCTATTTATTCTCTAATAATCCTTGCTTCCTCAGGGGTATAATACGCATAATAAGATCTATCTCCATAAATTATGCTGCCAGCAACTGAGCCAAGCGAGTATCCGAGAACAAAATACATAAGCCTGTAAGGGACTCTTGTTACTTTTAATGCGAATTATGAGATAAGATAGCCTGATATTCCTGATACTAAAGCTACTTTGCCAGTATTAACTCCTCCAAACCTAATCATCTGCTCCTATTCATACTTCGTCAGAGTCTTTGACATTTTTTCGATATCCTCAGGAGTTTACATATATCTATCTTTTTCTGTCATTTATTCTTTTATTATAATTTCATAAATTTGTGACTATAAAAGCACGTTGGGGTTTTGGGGTTTTGGGGTTTTGGGG